TGCTCCAAGGCAGGAACATCATGGTGGAAGGACCTGGTGGAGACAGGCTGCTCATCTCATGGTGGCCAGGACAGAAAGAGCACGGAGCAGCTAGGGACAGGAATGCACCCTTCCAGGTCACACCCAGTAACCACCTCCCACCAGGCCCCGCTTCCTATAGCACAGTCAGCCCTGAACTCCTCCGTGATGGATCCACTGATGCACACAGCACCCTGTGAACCATCATATTCTAAACGCAAGAGATTTGGGGGGGACATCTTTATTTTCCCTTAATCTACCACTTCTAGTGCAACCCACAGCAAGAATAAAGACACCAAGACATATTTACAGTTCTGGGGAGCCAAGGGGTCCTAAGTCCAGCCAAGATAGTGATTCACCCTAACAAAGGCCTCGATTCAGGGGTTACCCCAGATTTCATTAACTCATGAAGAAGGGAATGATTTGAAGATGACTGACTGTCAGAAAGGCGGGAGAAACATGAATGCAGTTAGCAGGACTAGGTAGAAGGCCTGAGATCACCTCTGCAATATGCAGGGAAAAGGATATACAGGAAGACCAATCTGCATAACACAGGTGGGGTAGCATCTGGGGGAGGTGCTTCAGCTCTGATGCACAATCCTTTTTGCCCTGGGAAGTCACAGCCTCTTATCTCTAGGCTCAAACCCAGCCCTGGAGTGGTGGCTTTTCATCCCATCCAGCTCAATCATGATTTTTGGGCATCACAAAAAAAAAGCGTAGGGAAACAGTGACTGTCACCTAGCTTCAAAGATTATACATCAGCACCTCAGCCAGCCCTATTTACATGGCAGAGAGCCAATTGAAGGGAAAAGGAAATGGCTTAGCCAGCTCTGTGCCTATCTACATGGAGACAGGGCCAGGTGTAGCGAAAGTGGAGATAACTGCATTTTGTTCAAGGAGAGTCTTCCAGATGGTCCTCCACAAAAGCACATTATTAGTCTTGAGCTTCATGCAATCCTCGCGCTTGCTCCATATTTTACCTGTAGCTTTTTATTAGTGGAAACTCAATGATAAACTGGAGAACTTTGCCATCATTTTACTTCAAAAGTAGAAAAAAAAATCATGCAACTCAGCATGATTCTGTCTTGAAAATGAATAATTAAGTAAATAAATAGGGCTGGGGATTTAGCTCAATGGCATAAGCCATAAGCGCCTGCCTGGCAAGTGCAAGGTTGTGAATTCAATCCAAAAAAAAAAAAAAAAGTAAATAAATAGGGCTGGGGGTGTTGTTTTGGTGTAAAGACTCTGGGTTTAATCCCCAATTCAGAGAGAAGGGGAGGGAGAGAGAGAGAAAGGGAGAGATTACTCACAAATGATGACCAAACAATATCTCAAGTTGTAACGATGAAGAATTTTGTGTGATTTAAAACAAATGAACAGGGGCTGGGGATTTAGCTCATCGGCATAAGCGCCTTCCTTGCAAGCAGGCAGTCGTGAGTTTGATCCTTGGTACCAATAAAAAGGAAAAAGACAAAAAAAAACAAAAAACAAAAAACAACAAATGAACAGGGAAAATTACACTGTAAATTTCTAAAATTACTCTTTATAAGATGAAGCAAAGTTGGAGCAGATCATGTGTGTGTGATGTAAATGCAGATCTCTATTGAGTGTTAATGATTATATTACTATTTTATTTCAGTGGGAGAATTTTCTCTTTATCCTGCTTTATATTTGATTATTCTCTTTCCCTGCCTCAAAGGGGTAGTTTTCTTTATTTTCCTTATTTCATTCAATTTTTAAAAGCTATATTTCATTCTGTTCTTCCTATTCTTTCTCCTCTTTTAGGTTTTGTGAGACATGGTCTCACTGTTTTATTCATGCCTTAAACTCTGTGAAACTCTTATGTAAATCATGCTGGCCTTTAAATCATGGCAATCCTTCCGCCTCAGTCTCCCTAGTACTGGGGTTACGAGCATGTGTCACTATGTCCAGCTTTTTTCTTTTTTTTTTTAATTTTTTTATTTATTTTTTCTTTTTTTACTTTTTTTTTTGCTCTTTTTCGTTTTTATCGGTACCAAGGATCGAACTCACGACTGCCTGCTTGCAAAGCAGGCACTTATGCCGCTGAGCTAAATCCCCAGCCCCAGCTTTTTTCTTTTTTAAATGAATATGTAATATTAATACACTGTTGTGTAACAGAATATAAACATCTTTAATGTCCCAATCCTCTTTCCAAGTCAAAAAAAAGATGGTCACACTGTTTGTGGACTTAACCCTCCCATATCCTTGTTTTGCTTTGTCATACTGGAGATTTACCTTTCCTAGTATCTTATTTTAAATTTTTAATAGAAAGCACTCATGCACGGACACTGAGATCCAGTCCTTAATATTTTTGGATCCTTTGTCATATCTTTGTTTGTTTATCTGTCAACTCTTTCAAGGCTGTTTCAATTATATTTCAGATCATTTACCTTCGCTTTTTAAAACAAACTATTTTCATTTACAAATCAATAATTGAGAATTTACCAGTTCATATGGCTTTTTTCTAATACTGTAGTGAGGACTGAATCCAGGGCTACATCTTCAGCCCTTTTCTATTTTTATTGTTATTTTTTGAGACATGGTCTGGGCTAAGTTGCTAAATTCACTTGGCTGCCTTGGAATTTATGAACCTCCTGCCTGAGCCTCCTAGGCTGCTGAGATTAAAGGCATGTGCCACCGGCCCCATTGCAGCTCTCTGTGCGCTTTTACTGATTTATTTGCTCACCTTTTGCACTGGCTGCTGTTTATATTTGTGATTGCATGTGCCTGGGTAAGTCCTCCCTGTTTGCTGTCACCTGGAATGTATGAGTGGGGACAGCAGAGGCAAAGCTCCGAAGCTCCATGTGACTAGGTAGCAAAGCAGAACCAGTGAGCTTTAAGGAAAGACTGGGATTTCTTCTCCCCTAAAACTGTGCCCAACTTTATATATCTACTTTGGTTGCTAAGAAATATTACAGAGTCTTACAGTATTTATGAAAGAATTGGCTGGGATTCTCCAGGGTTTTTAAAGCAAATAGTAGTTTCTGAATTGCTCTCAATATTACGATTAAAATATATACTGTTCACAAAGACCTTGGGCATTACTATCCAATCAAGTGCAAAATATGCCACTTCAAGCATGTGACATTTAAATGACTCAGTCCAATTTTATCATGCAAATATCATGCAGATTTAAAATGGAAGCAACTCTGCCTGACTGCACTAATCTCTTTGGTGTGGATAAGCAGAAGCACAAAGGGTTAAATGCATGGCTGTGGAGGGCTTTCAGCTTGGTGGGTCTGAGAGCTGATAGAAGCCAAAAGGCTGAGCTCATCTAAAAGGAATCAGCGGCTGAAAGCCCTGGGAGCAGCATCACTGTCTCTGGAGGAAAGTGACTGGGCCTTGTGTTAAGTAGTCACCTCTGATTCTGAGGTAGGAGTGTTGATGGCTATTGGCAAAGCTAAGGAGAATCTCATCTAAGTCCAGTGGAGGCATCCTTAGTGTTTGTAAGGAGGAGAGGAAAAGGGAGATGTTTCTCAGTGTTTCTTCTCATCAAAGGCTTATCAAACATGAATTACGACCCCTTAAAAGAACAACACAATCATGGTGTCAAACTGCCTGAAAGAGTTGTTGGCCCAGATGGAACACTGTAACCAGAAAAGGCTGCAGCTAAACTCCTCCCCCCCTCCCCCGGCCCCTATGGACTTGATTGTAACCCTATATCCCCATCCTTAAGAATCTGTGTGCCAATGAGATACCTGTGCATCTCTAATGGCCTTAGGGTGCTGCCCTAAGCTTAGGCTATTTAGATTCCCCCACACCACGTGTCCGAGAGAGTTCGCCAGAGAGAGAGAGACCGCCAGATTCCAGCAGCCAGCGCCGGCCAGCCCGCCAGTCTCCACTCCCCATGTTCCCGGAGAGACCACCGGCCCCAGGTGCAGAGATGCTGTGCCCCGGGGCCGGCGGCGGGGGGGCCCCCTCCCCGCATTCCCGGAATAAAGCCACCACTGACCACTACTTTCACGGCCATCCACTCCACTCCATACCTCCCACGGACTTCTCCTCTCCTCCCCCTTCTCTCAGACCTAACACTGCCCACTCATTTTTTGCAGGCTAATTTCCTCCTTTCTTTCTTCCTCTTCTTTCTAGTGCTGAGGATTGAACTCAGGGATTCACATTGTGCCCAGTCGTTATTTTTTATTCGAGATAGGCTCTTGCTAGGTCGGTAAGTTGCCCAAGTTGGGCTTGAATTTGCGATCCTCCGGACTCAGCCTCCGAGAGGGTTGGGAATACAGACCAGAGACACTATTCCCTGACTTCTGCTCTCTTTGGTAACAGCCACCTCCTCCTTGAAATGCCCTCCCCAGACCTACACTGGAGTCAAACCCCACCTGTGGGTTCAGGCCCAGTGTTGCCTTTTCCAGGAAGTCCAGTGAATGTCAGGCTCTCACTGTCTTTTCTCTGCCCTAATCATTATTATTATTATTAAGCTCTGTGAGGCAAGGAATACAACTCAGCAAGGGGACTTCTACCATTTCCGGTGTTTTTTTTTTTTTTTTTTTTTTTTTTGGTACCAGGGATTGAACTCATGCTTGCCAGGCAGGTACTTATGCCACTGAGCTAAATCCTTGGTTTTACCATTTCAGTTTTAAAGAAAGGGCTGAGCCAGATGAGGTGCTGCAGGCGTGTGACGCCAGCCAGGCGTGCAGCTGAGGCAGGAGGATTGCAAGCTGAAGCCCAGTAGACAACTTAGAGGGATCCGGTCTTTAAAAAAAAAAAAGGTTGGGAATGCTCCTCAATGCGAAGATTCTGGGTGATTCAACCCCCAGTAAAACACACACACACACACACACACACACACACACACACACACACACCGCACACACAGCTGACTTGGATAAGAAGGTCTTGCTGACTTGAAGCATATCCCCCAATTAACAAGGAGTGCACCAGGACAAGGGTCAGCGGTAGGATCATCCCTTTCCTTCCGGGTCTGCTCGCTCACTCCTTCTCACGACCACAAAACACTAGCGGCCGCGTCCCGGGAAGCGTGTCCCGCACAGGCTGCCGTAGCGAGGCTCTTCAGCTGCGTCCGGGGAACATGGCGGCCCCCGAGTGTGGGCCTGCTTCGGGTCCCAGCAGCGACAAGGGCGAGGAGGAGACGATTCTCTATGACTTGTTGGTCAACACCGAGTGGCCTCCAGAGACAGAAGTGCAGGTGAAGCAGGCCCTAACGGTGGCGACCCGGTGGGCGCAGGCACTCAGTGAGCTGAACCCTTGCGGGAGCCACGTAGCCAACCTGGGGGCGGCTCGGGCGGTCGCCCTGGCAACGGCGCGGGCGGGGGTCGGACCGCGAGAGGCCTCTGCTGCTCTGGATTCGGGTGTGGGGGCCATGCAGTCCCACCCGTGCCTCCTCGGGGGTCTTCGTCCTCCCGAAACCTGGACTCCCTGCCCTGCGCAGGCTGCCCCGGTTGCCCCCGGAGACTGTTCCGGGACTGCAGTACTCCCAGCAGTTGCCCTTCCGCCGCGGACCCCCTTCTAAGGGCCGTACAAATACCTTGTGTATTTCAATAAATAAGCATTCCGTGCAGGGCGTGGTGGCGTATGCCTGTCTTCCCAGCACTGGGGAGACTGAGGCAGAAAGATCGCTGCGAGTTCAAGGCCTGCCTTGGCTACATAGTTCGGGGCCAGCTTGAGCTATATAGTGAGACCTTGTGTCAAAAACAGAGGATTGAGGGGCTGGGGATTTAGCTCAGCGGCATAAGCGCCTGCCTTGTAAGCAGGCAGTCATGAGTTGGATCCCTGGTACCGATAAAAAGGAAAAAGACAAAACAAAAACAAAAAACAGAAGAGTGACAGAGAAGCATTTAGTGGTTGCGTGTGCGCGTTCATGTGTCCAGCCATCCATGTGTTCATTTCTGCATGTATCCACGTGTCCATCCATATGTCCATCCAGCCATGAATCCATCTTGACCATCTGTCTTATGTCTGTGTGTCCCAGATGCTCGACGAAGTACCGAGGATACGGAGATAACTGAGCTGCTCTGGTTCCTCCAGTCTAGAGGGGAGAACCTGCAGTAAAGTTTCCACCTAATCTAGCATAATCTTATGCTCACAGTGCTGGAGGAGCAAAGGGAAAGGAGCTTCTGACTGGTACTGGGAGCTCAGTAGGGGAGAAGTTATGGTGTTAGAAACCCAGCTGTCTCCAAGGCAGAGACTTTAGGTATAGGGTGAAGAGTATCAGTCAGACTTGTGTATATTCATCAGGCCTGAACATGGAAGTATTTAATATACCAATTTTGTAGTGGGGTTTCGTTAGTAGCATTGTTTGTGTGGGTATAGGATACTCAATGGACTTGTGTCAAGTCGTGGGTTAATGAGCCCTTGTAACTGGTCCTCCTGTGAGTAAAGCTTCTTAGAGGTCTCTGTCACTTTCCTGCATACACCTTGATGAGTGGGCTGAGGATTTAGGTCAGCTGCATAAGCGCCTGCCTTGCAAGTGCGTGGTCATGACTTCGATCCCCGGTACTGATAAAAAAAAAAAATAAAAAGAAATACTTTAATGAGCTGCAGCCAGCCTGGGCTTTGCCTGGGCTTTTACAGCCTTTCACTTGGTGTTTTGGTGTAGAAACGGTTCTAGTGTGGTCCTGTGAGCTTTGTCCTGCTGTGGGCCATGCTCAGTCTTGGTACTGAGTCCTCATTAAACTTGTTTCTATTTTGACCTATGAGTGGAACCTTTTACTCAATTCTCTTGAGTATTAGCAAGTGTTCCTTAGGGTTATAAAATGATCAAATGTGTGTTTTTTAATTGTAGCCTCGCGGTAACCGTAAACATGGTGCATCATTTATCATCACAAAAGCAATCAGAGGTAAATCTATTTTTTGTTTTGTAAATGATATAGTTACCTGTTTCTTTATATTTCATTCGTAACTGTGTTGTTTTAGAACGTTTAGGGATTTTGAAATGTGTTCTTTGGACTTCTCAAGTGGAGCATAACAAAACAAAGTAGTGTAGGTGTTGTCTCAGTTTAATTTTGTATACACGTATATAAGCAGATGCATGTATGCATGCCTGTGGATTTTCATGCACACATATGTTTAAAGCAGGTTAGAGCCAGAGTACAGGAGTTTACCATTATGGGTGTTAGAAGAGCTAACATACTCAATTTTCATTATCACAAATGCTTTGAAGGTTTGAACGTTTAGACGATACACACAAATAATAAAAATTCATTACAGAAAATATAGAAAATAACTGAGTTTGAATTTTGTTTTCATTTTACAACCTAAAGACAATCTATTGTGCTTGAGACTCAGTGTGTAGACACACATGTATTCTAAACCAAATCATAAGAAGCACCATTACTATTATCTTGTGTTTCTTAAGATGGAAACTAGGCTTGCTAGGCAAATGCTCTGCTGCTGAGATATTTTAGGTATTGCTATTATTTTTTATGTCTTTGCATTAAGCGTAAATTGGTATTTTGGTTTAATTTTTATACAAATAATTTAGCTCTAAGAGTAATTACTGTGGTTTTTCACCCATGGCTTCATGATAGCTTTTTGGATTAAATTTGACATCTCTAACCATTGTTACATTTTTGTAGTTAGGAAATACTTCAGAGTTCTAACACATAAGCTTAGAGATGATGTAAACAAATATGTGACCTCGTAACCATTCGAGTGTATACATTAGATTATTCTGATTTTAGGAGTTGCCTTCTCAATGTTTGGTTTCATAATGACTCAGCCTGTAGTGTATTTAAATTTTTCCTCTGTGTAACTAATTTGAAAATGATTCTTAAAGGACAAATGATTTATATTTGGTTTTATTTTTCTTTTTATTACAGATTATTTATTATTTTTGCGCCAATACCTCTGGTACAGGTGAGACAGTGGTTTTTCATAGACGCTGAAAATCAGACACAGATGTTATTTATAATTTATAATTACGTTCTCGTGACTGAACCCCAGGTTGTGATGGGTTTCTCAAGTGGAGCGTAATGATACTCATCTGAGCCCATTTCTAAGTAGAGATTTTTTTTGTCTTTTTCTTTTTTACTGGTAGCAGGGATTGAACTCACGACCACACACTTGCAAGACAGTACTTATGCCGCTGAGCTAAATCCCCAGCCCCCTAAGTAGAGATTTTAAATGTTTTGACGTGAGCTGAGGTCTTCTCCATGGATTGGTAGCTTCTGCCTCCTTCCTCCTGGTTAGAAATGTTACATGATGACCCTGCTGTTCTGGATAAGTGGGGACCTCATCTTGGGCCATGTAGCAGGCCGGTGATGTCCCTGGCTTTTCAGAAGCATTTTTGTCTTTACGTTTCCATCAGCTCTTTGCTGCTTAGTGTTCAGTGGCCATGCAGTGGTGAGGTTTCTTTGGGTTTCATTCTTGTGTGCTTTTGAATTCTTGAGTGGTAAGTATCTTTTCAGGCAGGGTGGTGGTTTTCAGCCTTAAAATTAGACATGTGGGGATTGCTTTGTAGACCTAGGTACTGCAGATTGCTTTTTCCCAGCCTGAAAAGCCCCCAAGGATGGGTAGCTCTGTGAACGGGACCTCAGCTTGTGTCTGTGCCTGCCATGGTTGTGTCTGCCTGTGCCTGTCCCTGTCCCTGCATGTACTCTGGGCCTTTTCAGCCTGCTTTCGGGATCTGATGTTACAGGTGGAGAAGAAGATTGAGGAGAATCAAGGGAGGGGAGCCTGGAGCCTTTCTCACTGTGGAGGGGGGGTGACTAGAGGATATGTCACCTGCGCTGCTCTCGATGGCCACCTTGTCCTCTCTGAAAGCCCACAGGTCAGGCCTCATAGGTGACTCTTTATCTCCCTCTTGAGAAACCTTTCTCTTTGAATTGGTCATCCTTGAATGACTAATTCAATGAAATTGAATTCTTCTTGATTGTTATTTTGAAATAAAGTTATGCTAAGTTGCCCAAGTTGGACTTGAACTTGTGATCCTCCTGCCTCAGCCTTTCAGGTAGCTAGGATTATAGATGTGAGCTGTGCCCTAGTAGTCCTTTTCCCAGAAAGACTGTATTTTCTAGAAATAGAGAACTGTCCATGGTAAAATTTCAGATATTAGTAACTTTTGATTTTCGGTGTGCTAATATTCAAATTTTTTATTCTAAGGGCGAAAAAAATAGGTATCCCTCCCTGTATGCACATGGCGTTATTTACAATATTTACTTACTTGTTTGTGGCGTTCTTGATTAGATTAAAGCAAGCTAATGTGTTGTGGTTGGTTTCAGCCCTGCTCCTTTTTTACTCCCTGATGGCCTGGTTCGCTTGGTGAATAGACAGATAAGCTGGCATTTGGTCCTTGCAAGGTAAGGTGGTGTGAAATTCACATAATGTGCTTCTATTTGAATTGGCTGTTAGTTTTTATTATGGGTGTTCATTTTGGGCCCCTTAAGACTTTCCTGCTCAGCTTTTATCTGCATACATTCTTTGTTGCTTGTATTGGCTAGAGGATCAGTATTGATCAGTCACAATAGGATGATAGGATCAGTATTGTCTAGAGATGTTCAGTCAAGCTATATTGAGTCATTTTTATGCTTTTTACGTACCTAGATGCCTACATTCCAATTTATTAAATTGGAATGTAGATGCCTATATGCATCTAATTATAAGGTTGAAAGATAATTACCGACCAGGAAGAGGCAGAGAGGAATGTGACTCCATTCTGCAGAGTCCATTGTGTCGACCCCTAATAGCGGTTTCACCACTGAAAGCCAAGGGTGAGAGATGACAGTTTTCTTAGGCAACATGGTTTTCATCCTATGATTGATAAACAAAACAGTTTCATCTGCCATGTCTTGCCTCAGAGAAAAACTCCAGAGATGCTCTTTGTAAGAAATGTTGGTAACTAAACATGTAAATATAAAACCAGCCGTATGTCAACATAGTAATGTCAAGCAATAACATGTGGAGAAATGTTCAATCCTTTAAAAAAAAGATGGGCAATTAGAGCTAAAAAGTGTAAAAGTTATTGTAACTTTGAAAAAGAATTTGCTCTGTATTGAAGGTATCAAATGAGTAGCTGTTGACTTGGGTTTTACAGTGCAGATATTCATAATGAGTTTTCCATTCTTCTTCCCTGGGAAAGCAACGGGAAGCTGCTGGCTGCTGTTCAGGACCAGTGTGTGGAGATCAGGTAATGGTTAATGCTGCTGCTCTCTAAGGCTTTCTTTTTTTTTGTCTTTTTCCTTTTTATCGGTAATGGGGATTGAACTCAGGACTGCCTGCTTGCAAGGCAGGTGCTTATGCCACTGAGCTGAATCCCCAGCCCCTCTAAGGCTTTCTTTGAGAGAACCTTTACCTGGTTTTAATTTTTCAAATGATTGAACTGCTAAGTCGCTTACTTTTGTGTGGTGTCAGACACTGGCTGGTGGATAGTGCTTTTTTGAGGAGCTCCTCATGTTTCTACTTCCCCAGATCTCTGCAGTCTCCACTTTTTCAGTGAATAAGGCTCTTTTGAGTTCCAGAAGTCGTTCCTGTTTGGCCAGTTACTAAGAGAGCTAAATAGATGCTCAGGAAGGTGCAGAAAAGAGCGGGACAGCTTTTGCTCTGTCGGCCAAGGCTGCAGGTCAGGCTAGGGTGGCTGAGGATGATGGTTACATTAGCCACAGTAGTGGTGCTGTTGGCCCAGAGCACCCAGTGGTTTCCCGTGCTCCTTAAGATTGTGAATCTGGGGTCTTTGCTTTTTCGTTTTGGTGGTGTTGAGGATTGAACCCAGGGCCTTTGTATGGGGCTCCCCAGCCTCTTTTATTTATTTATTTTTGTGTAATTTTAAGGCAGACCTTGCCGAATTTCCCAGGGTGAGCTCAAAGTTACACTCTTTCAGCCTCAGCCTCCCAGAGGGCTGGGATCGTGGGCCTGCACCATCATCCCTGGCTGCTGCTGCGCCTTGTTGGCTCATGGTAGTTACCAATGTGAAACCATTGTCTTTATTTTGCGTATATTTTTCAGGTCTGCAAAAGATGATTTTACGTCTATTATTGGGAAATGTCAAGGTAAGGGTTTCTAAAATATTTCAAAAAAGAAATTTTTATATCTCCAATGCTTTGCAGTTATTTATTAAATTGGAATAAATATTAAAGAAATATATATATTAAGGATTATTATGACTATTAAAAGTTTTAAAATTTGTGACTACCTTTTCTTAATTCCTTGAATATTTTGCATTTTGGGTGGGTTTGAAATTTAAACTATTTTAAAAATATATAAGCCAGTTTGGGGAGAAAATATTTGTAATTATCCATATTCTTTTACTTTGAATTCTTATTTAGTTATAAGTCAAAGTTGGTCAGATATAGTCTAATAAAAACATCTGGGGTTGACACTTTTTTGATATATTTAGCAAAAATTTATTGAGTATAATATAAAATGTAATAAAAATACGGTGAATACTTACAATAAAAGGTACATTATAATTAATCTCCATGAAAATGCTTCCTTGTGCTTTGAAGGTACTTATTGAATTATCTTTGCCACTTCCTGCAGCAGCTGTGGAGTCGTCTTTCATGAGGGTCTTTTGCTTTGCTATTCTGGCTGCCTGGCTGCCTTGACGTCCTGAAAGAATTAAAAATGTTAAACAAAAAAGGAGCTAGGTATGGTGGTGCATAGCTATAAGTCCAGCACTTGGGAGCTGAGTCAGGAGAACTGTTGCAAGTTTGAGACCAGCTTGGGCTATAAAATGAGCTCAAGGCTATCCTGAGCAGCATAGTGAGACCCTGTCTTAGACAAAAACAAAAGAAAACAACTCCCACACCAAACTCCAAAATGTTTCCATTTCCTGGTCATTGTGACTTTGGGGGAGAGCCCGGAGTTGCACTGCACCAGATCTGGTGACTGAGGTGGCTGAGGACACAGCATTGTGTTTTTACAAAGCGGCCTTTCCTCTGGATGGCATTTGGCAGCAGCACTCATCTATTTCTGATCACACCTGGAAAGACCCTCAGGAAAGAGGATTCTGGAGCTGGTGCAGAAAGCAACCAGGATGATAGGACTAGTGTGTGTGAGCCGAAGGGAGGATACTGAGGGAGATAATAGCAGTGTATCTTTCACTGTACATTTTTGAAATTTTTATTTAGTGCTTGCTGTATTTCTTCTCTGTAGTTTTTGATCTTGCTTTTTGTGAGCATGAGCTACCCTGCTGGGTGCTTGTGCTGTGACTGTGAGCAGAAGGCGTGGTCTTCTGTGAGAATGTGGAAGACGGGGCTAGGGGGTGAGACTCAGCCCCTGGGGCTGCACATGCTGCCATGATCTCCTCCCTCAGCTCTGCTCATCCTTTGATCGCTGCCTTGGGGTTATGAGTCTGTCTGTGGTTTGATCCACAGTACACGTAGGTCTTCGTGATCTGCTCACTGTCTGAGAGCCCTGTCTCTGGGTCCAGGAACCTGCATGGGGACATGTTAGCTCCAACCACAGCAGAAATGGGAGGACACGATGAGGAGGGTTGTGTTTGGTGAACAGCTCTGTTGCCTTTGTCTCCTATGCACGCCTGCAGTTCCTGTGTCCATAGAGCCAGAGTGGTGCTCTGGGAGTCACTGTGAGGATGACACAGTATGCTGGCATGGTATGGAGTGCTTCGCATGTGTCTTCTCATTTAACTAAAAGGAAAGAGCCTGTATGTTTTATCTAGAGCAATAATAAACATTTGACCGTGAAAGAGAACAAGGTGGAGGAACCAGGAATGGTGGAAGCCACGCGGGGTGGGGGAGCTGCCCAGGCGCTGGTGCAGCAGGCCTTGGTGGTGTGGGCCAGCTTCCTTCCCAGGTCCCTCTCAGCCATGTAGGTGTGTGGGGGAGCCAGATGGCCCTGGGAGTGTGTGCGACGCTGCTGAACTGCACAGCCCCCGTCTCAGCCCCGAAGCTGAGTACTTACCCGGTTCCTCCTTCTTCGAGGTTTTTGCTTCTCTAGCAGCTCTAGGAAGACTTTTGAAAAGCGCTGTTGGTGATCATCTTGTAAAAGCTACGCTGTTCGTTCTTTTCCAGAACTACATCGTAGGTGGCTGGAAAACCCAGGGATACAGGCTTTGTTTCTGGTGGTAACTGAAATCTTAGCTCTTGATGAAAAGGCATGCTCTTGGGGGACACGGGCTGAGGATGGTGGATGCGGTATTGATAACCGCAAGTCTCCATGAAAATGAGGCCCCCAGAGGAGTTTATTTCCTAAATCCACTCATCCCGTCAATACGAGATGAGGTGGGGAATGGGGACAGTGGAAATGTGTTTGCGGAGTTTAGTCAGCACAGGGCAAAGTTGTTCTCTTGCTAGGTTTTTTTTTTTTGGTCTTTTTCCTTTTTATCGGTACCAGGGATCGAACTCACGACTGCCTGCTTGCAAGGCAGGTGCTTATGCCACTGAGCTAAATCCCCAGCCCCTTTTCTTGCTGGTTTTTATGTAGCATCTATGTATACATCAGTGTCTTTACTCTCGTTATCATTTTGTGTGTTTACTTCCGAATTTGATTTTTCTTTTTAACAGTCTAAAGACAGGGAACTGATTTTCTTTTCATTTTCTCCTATTGAAAAAACAAAAGCAAAAACAAAAAAGCTTTGTTGCCGGGTGTGGTGGCACAGGCCTGTAATTCCAGTGCTCAGGAGGCCGAGGCAGGAGAATTGCTGAGAGTTCCAGGCCACAAAAAGATCCAGGCCAGCCAACACTACTTAGTAAGACCTTGTCTCAGAAAAGCAAAAGCAAAAACAGCAGAACAACAAAATGTTAACTGAGTGTTTGCAGCATCTTGTTTGGATTTAATATAGAGAACCTTTCTTGGACTTTTTTTGTAACAGGATTCGAACTCAGGACCTCACACTTTCTGGACAGGGGCTTATGCTGCTGAGCTAAATCCCCAGACCCTCTTCTTGGACTTTTTAAATATACTTCCGTTGTTTTGTTTTTTGAGATATGGTCTCGGTGTGTAGTTCCGGTGGACCTTGAACACTCAGCGATCCTCCTGCCTCAGCTGTCTGATGCTGCAATCACAGTCATGCACTACCATGCCTGGTGCTTTTTGAAATATACTTTTTGCCTAATCATAGTCAAAATGCAGAAATTTCTATATCAGGTATTTTTGCTTATATACAGAATATATGGCACAGAGGCAGATGGAGTGTGAATAATTCCCAGCCCCTTGTTAGGTGTGTGTGTGTGTGGGGGAGACTTCTATTAGACGTCTTGGGGACGGCAGGCCTGTTCTATTACTGTGCCCTGTTGGCAGAGATGTTCCAGAGACAGAAGCCTCCTGTGTCAGGGTTGTGACACGTGCTCTGCTTCCCATCTGGAGTGGCGGTATCTAGGCAGACCTTGTTTCTGAGGGTGTCCAGAGTCCTCTAGGCCTGATAGTTATGAAACAGCGATGTGCTGTGACAGATGCACCTAGAGGTGTGTCGATGGCCTGGGGGTCACACAGAAGAGAGAAGTTGGCTCTGAAAATGTGGAGGGAGTAGTAGTGACCGTCACAGAGGGCTAGCAGGAGGAAGAGGCCAGAGGGAGCCATTTGGGGCAGAGGCTGCTGTGTGGAAGGCACATAGGTGTCCAGCGCGCAGCTGGGGACATCCCCGGGGTGGGCTGCAGGGCATGCACTAAGGGGCCTCTGCACCGTTTTCCACATGCCTGGGCTGCATGTGTTCCCTGCAGTGGCGTGCATGGCCCTTCTCACCAGCACTCCTTATGTGTTGTGCCTTTTGGGGGTTCGTCATTCTTATCCATTTTTGGGAAGCCAGTCCTCACTGGGCTTTGAATGAGGGCTCCCGGGTGACCGCTGATGTTAAGTATTTCCTCACCTCCCTGTCGGCCAGTTGTGCGCCTTCTTTGAGAAACATGGGTTTAGATCTGTTTCCTGTTTTAAAACTGAACTGTTAAAAAAACAACAACAACAACAACAAAAAACTGAACTGTTTTCTTGTTGCAAATTTTGATTTCCTTGTATATATATTCTAGGAATTGACCCTTTGTCAGGTGGTCATTTTATTTAAATACTTTCATTGTTTTTTAATTTTAAAGAGATTAAGACAAAAGAGGACATAACAAAGCAGATCAGAACAGAACAATGTAAGCAACACAGTTCTTCACCATAAGACAACCCGTAATTAACAGTAACTACCATAATGTCTCTTTCTTTGAAATAGTTGAGCATAACTTCATATACAATAGTATCAAACATAACAAAATAGTATAAAATCATTCAAGAGAATGAAAGTATTACAGGGCATTCAGAACCAGATAACAGAGAACCAACAATGGCTGCTATATTTTCTCATTTTCCATAGAAAATTTGTTTATACTATCACACATAATAAAATCCAATAAGGTGCAGTATGATAGAACCAGAAGGACAAAAGTATGGTAGGACTTCAGAGTAAGGTATTAAATCAGCACTATTATAAGTCTTATATAAGTATTATATAGTCTTGTTTTCTTCAAAATAGCTGTTTTCATATTATCACAGATAATAAAATCAAACAAGCCAGGATAAAACCATTCCAACTAATGAATGCAAACATTATAAGGCTTCAAAGCAATGAATGGGGAATGATTACTATAAACTCTTATGTACTCTTACCATTTCTTACTCTAGGGAGACTTTACGGTATTTATACATGTGAGTTTGATTTATTTTGCTTATGAGTATAGTCTCAACTTGCATCCATTTATTTATAAATATGTCAATGTGATCATTCTTCTTTTTTTTTTTTTTTGTCTTTTTCCTTTTTATCAGTACCAGGAATCAAAATGTGATCATTCTTTATAGCTGAGTAGTACTCTATTGTATAAAAACACCACAACTTTTTTATCCATTCCTCAGTTGATGGACAGACACAAGGTTGTTTCCAAGATCTAGCTATTACAGACTGTGCTGTTATAAACATGGGTACACATGTATCACTGTGGTATGATGTTTTTAGTTCTTCTGGGAATATGCCTAGAAGTGGAATAGCTGGGTTGAATGGGACTTCCAATCCCAGCTTTTTAAGGAATCTCCAGACTGACCTCCACAGTGGCTGTACCAGTCTACACTCCCACCAACAGTGCAAGAGAGTTCCTTTTTTCCATGGCCTCTCCAGCATTTGTTGTTGGTAGTTTTCTTGATCCTGGCCGTCCTTTCTGGAGTGAGATGGAATCTCAGGGTTGTTTTAATTTGCATTTCTCTCATGATCAATGATGATGAACATTTTTTCATGTATTTATTTGCCATTTGTATTTCTTCATCTGAGAAATGTATATTTATTGCAGATGCTGCCCATTTTTGGATTGAGTCTTTGAATTTTGGGGGTCTGATTTTTAAAAATTCTTTATATGTTTTAGAAGTCCTTTGTCTGAGGGACAGTCCACTAAGATATTTTCCCCAGTTTGTGGGTTTTCTTTTCACTATGCTAGAGATTTCTTGTGACATGCAGAAATTTTTTAATAAGATGTGATCCCAGTTATTGATTCTGAGAAGTATTTCCCATGTAGTTTGATTCCTGTTCATGAATTCTCTACCTACCCCTATGTCTTCAAGATTTTTACCTACTTTGTCTTCCAACAGATTTAGTGTTTCTGTTTTAATATTCAGATCTTTGATCCATTTAGATTTTAGGTTAGTACATGGTGATAGGCATGGGTCTAGTTTTAGTTTTTGGCATATGGAGAGCCAGTTTTCCCAGCACCATTTATTAAAGAGGCTGTCGTTCTTCCAGTGAGTATGTTTGGCCCCTTTATCAAAGATAAGGTGGTTGAGTGTGTTTGTAGTTGTATCTTCTAATCTATCCCATTGATCTTCAGATCTGTTTTGATTCCAGTACCATGTTGATTTTATTACAGTAGCTTTGTAGTATAACTTCAAGTCAGGGATTGTGATGCCTCCTGCCTTGCCTTTGCTGCTTAGACCAACTGACTTTGCTATTCTAGGTCTCTTCTGGTTGTAAATACTTTGGGTCATGCTGTAGTCATGGTGTAGGTTTTCTTTTCATGCTGATGACTGTTTTCCTTGCCTGGCAGAAGCTGTTTTAGTTTGATGGAATCTCATTTGTCTGTTTACTTTGGTTTCCTGTGTTTTCAGTGTCCCCACCCCCCCCTTACGCTGCCCAAGGTCCCGAAGTACTTCCTTCTGTTTCCTTGTAGTAGTTTCACTGTGTTGGATTTCACATTTAAGTCTTTAGCCTCTTTTGAGTTAATGTTTGTAACTGCTGAGGTGTAGAGGTCCAGTTTCTTTCCCTTGCGTGTAGATACCACTTTTCCAGCGCCATATATTGGAAAGGTCAACCTCCCCTAGTCTTACTCTTACCACGTGTGTTCACAGTGAGATGATTGTAGATGTGTGTTTTTTCTTGTGACATGATCTTTTCCTTTCGTTCTGGTGTTGATATTTATCCCAATGTCATTCTGTTTTTATTACTTGGCCTTTGTGGTTTATTTAGAAATCAGATGACGTAATGTTTTTGTTCTTTTGCTCAACATTTTTAAATACGTGATTCCACACAAATTTTAACCTCTTTTTTTCTAGTTTTGTAAAGAATGTCATTAGCATTTTGATAGGAATTGCTTTGAAAGTGTAAATCATTTGAGTAATTTAAACAATTTTGGCTCTTCCAATTCATGAACATAGAATGTCTTCCCATTTTCTATTTTCCCTTCAGTTTCCTTCATCAGAGTTCAGGGTTTTCAGCACTCGGGAAGCCTATAGTGGAGGCTTATACCTGTAATCCCAGCACTCATGAAGCCAAGGCAGGAAGTTCGCCACAAGTTGGAGGCCAGTGTGAACTACAGAGTGAGACCCTGTCTCAAAATACAAACGTTGAACAATTCATACTTTTCTTTTTGGAGCACTTTCACCTTTCCTTTGATTAAATTTGTTCCTAAGTTTTTTATTACTATTTTCCATAGCCATTGTAAATGGGATTGCTCTCTCACTCTGTGTTTCTGGTAATTCACTGTTGGCACGTTGTGGCTCTCCTGGGTTTTGTTTGTTTTTGGTAGTGCTGGGGACTGGATCCATGAGAAGTCGTTTTCGGCTCAGCTGCCCCCTGCTTATGCTGCCAGTTCTGTGTGTTGATTTTATATTCTGAGACTTTGCTGAATTAATTTATTCTGGCAGTTTTCTTGGTGGAATCTTGGGGTTTGCCTGTGTAAGGTCATCTGTATGCAGCAGCAGTTTGGCTTCCTTTTTTCTGAGTGAGATCCTCGCTTCTTTCTCCTGTGTGCTTGCGCTGCCGGGTCTGTGTTGCATAGAGGTGTAAAGGCAGGCAACCTTGTCTAGTTCTAGATCTTCGAGAGAAGACACTCAGCGTCTTGCCATGGCTGTTACATGTGGCCTCTGTTCCACTGAGTGGCTGGACCTGCTATGTCCGGTGTTCTCCTCATGGAGGCAGGTTGCATTTTACCATGTGCCTTTTGTGCTGCTCTTGAGGTTTTTCTGTTCTTTGTGTTTACAGATGTGTGATAAAGAAATACGGTAAACATTTAAAAAGCCAGTATTTATTACAGTAAAAGACATTTGATCACCCCTCCCCCTATACTGCTCCCTGCTTTAAACCCACTCACCTCACTGTCCCTGCAACTTTTTGAAGCAGCTCCAGATGTCCTCCTCTGTGGTTTTAGTTGCACTGTCCTACTGCCTTGATGTCTTAAATTGATTCAAGGTATTGATCTTTTGTGGTCATTTTGACTTTGGGGAGAGCCAGGAGTCATGTGTGCCATGTCCTGTGCCATGTTTTATTTATTTAATTTATTTATTTATTTCTGTCAGTGTGTGAGCCACAAGGTAGGATAAAGACATTTGGTGACTGTGTAAATGAAGAGTTGGTAGAGAGAGGGCACTGGGCCTCCTACCTGTCTCTTTAGTGCTGGGCTTCTAATAACAGGAAATGGGAGCACAGAAGATAAACAGTAAGAATGTCAAACCTAGCATGGTTTAAAGTTTCTCAGGCCTTTCTTTCTCTTCTCTAATAGCTAGCAGCCTTTTTGTTGTGCTGAAAAATTCAGAATAGGAGAGAATCGAGGAGCTGGATTATTAGGATTATGAAGGTATTGATTATCGCAGTCTTATGATTGTGTGATTGTCTAAGGACAGTTCTAGATTTGTCTGCCTGTGTGCCTGTCCTCCCTTATTCTCATGCTGTGTTAGCATCGGCATTTGATACAGCTGAACTTCTCAGTTTTTGGTGTTAGAGGGGCTGAACTCATTGGGTTGGAATTATTTTCTGCCCATTCTTTCCGCTGCTTCTTGGTATGTAAGCATTTTGCAGTGTGCTATCCCCGAGTCTTTCCTGGTGAGGGTAGCGCGTGTGATGGTTTACATCTGTGCTGTGCTTTGCTACTAAGTGAGGCGTTAGACAGCGCTGGGAAGTGGTGCATTATGCTTACTGTAACCACAGTTACTAAAAGTGTTACTGATTTTTGTAACCTCTTCTCTTTTCCTTCTAGTTCCGAAAGACCCCAAGCCCCAGTGGAGACGGGTGGCTTGGAGCTATGATTGTACGCTGCTGGCCTACGCAGAGAGCACGGGCACTGTGCGGGTGTTCAACCTCATGGGAAGCGAGCTGTTTGTCATTGCCCCGGTATGATCCGCCGCAGACTGGTGACTGTTTGGGGGTATGTGTGATATCTCTGTATGGATGCTCCAGCGAATGAATGTGAGAAGGGAAGAGACAGATCTAGCTGGGGATTTCCATCTGGGTAATCCTTAGTTTTGTATTCTGTGATGCATTGTGCTGATGTAAACCGCCTAGTAGTAAGTAAATTCTCCATGGAGGCTGTTCAGCCAACCCTCATGAGGAGGCGTGTCCAAAACAGGAGAGTATACTGAGCCATTTTCAGGCCACAGGAAGAATGAAGGGCTGGCCCTGGGGCAGGTCCCATGATGCTGGGGTGCGGGGTCCACACTGGCAGCAGGTGGAAAACACTGCCTAAGCCAAGTGCTTTTTGAATTTTGGAGAAGGAAAGGTCCATTCACATTTTCCCTGTATCAGCTGTGGGGAGCAACAGTGGAATAAGGTGAGCTTGAGCAGGCTTGGGACAGGAAGCTGGGTCATAAGGAACACTTGCTTCTGGCTGGATAGCGCTGGCATCCGGACAGCCAGCCAGCTGGGGTTTAAGTCAGGGTTTCGACATTGACTGTTGTCTGATTGTCTTTTGCCTGTGTTAACTGAGGATGCCCTTGTCTCTCGCAGCCTTCCTTCATCTGGCCTTTTAAAGTAATTTTAGAACACTCCTGGGTTTTATCATAGCACAAAATATTGTTATAAAGTTCCATCAATGAAACGTCCATAGCAGGGACAACTTCTGGGAGTTCAAATTTATTACATGAATGGAATAGAAATTGAAAGAGAAAGTGAAAAAAAAGAATGGTTGTAATAATTTGTAATTGTGTTCTGCTATTAAGGATTGTATGTACATTCCCAATATTCACGGCAGTTATGTGTGTGGGTTGGTGTCAGTTTTTGAAGTTTAGGAAGGAGATTGAGGGGAACAAAGTGGCAGCCCCTCTCCCTGGGTCTCTTCTAGGAATCGTGTGCATCTTAGCATCTGTATTCATGTGGATAGGACCACGGTGGGCAGAACAGTGGCTCTGACTCTGGCTGTGTCTTAGCATCTCCGAGGGGCTTCACAGAGAAAACCAAGGCCAGGACCCAGATGCATGCCTGGCCTGCCTGTACTTGCCATGGGCTCTGTCTAAGTGACCCCTACAGGACCTGGAGCTGATGGTGTTTTCAGGCTTTTTAGTGTGTTCTCCTAAGTTTAGCACTGAGAGCCAGGAATTCCGAGAATGGTTTTCATTCAGGAAATGAATATACATGGAGAAATCTGGGCAAAGTACACTGGGCTTAGGTTACAGGAGTCCCACAGCTCCTGGACAGGTTCTGAGGAGCTGTCTGGAGACGGAAGCTGGCGCCATGAGCTTGGCCCCGCAAGCCCCAAGGTCTCGGCAGGAGCAGCCTTGTGAGAAAGACTCAGACTGGCCCGTGCAAAGGAAGGACTGCTTCTGTGGGCTGCGGGGCAGGCTGGGCCTGGCCAGTTGTTGTCTGCGTCCCCATTGTGTAGGGTGTCTCCTGGGAAGAGTTGGCTGTCCCAGGGGCAGCGGGGGCTTCTGAGATGTCTGTTCCTCTGCAGAAGCCTCAGTTTTGTGAGGTTCTGCCTCTGGAATCCAAGGTGACTGGAGGCCAGAGGCTGTGACAGGTAGGTGAGCGTCCCTACAGGTCTCTTGCTTCCCTGTCCTCAGCCGTCTGAGTAGGCAAATGGAAGTGAAGACTTTTCCATTTAGACTACTGCTGGCAGTGGATGCTGACATTGGAAAGCTGCTTCTAGAGTTCTCTAGGGTGGAAGGGTGGAGAGTTCTGTCTGTGTTGCAGTGGATGTATGGTTTAAATAAAAATGTGCTTCTCTACCCCTCTACTTCAAAGTTATGTATTGTGGTGTTGCCTGAGTAAATGAAAGATTACAGGTAATTAAAAAAACCAGAGCTGGGAGGACTGCTGTAGACCGGGCAATTGGCACTGGGCTTTCACATGCCCCCCAGTTGTGCATCGTTATTTATGGAGCGTCTCTTTAGTAATGCAGTTTTCTTTTCTCTCAAAGGCATCGAGTTTTGCTGGTGATTTGAGCTGTGCCATCGCCGGGTTGATATTTTTAGAATACAAAGCCAGTGCGCAGTGGTTAGCAGAACTCTTGGTCATCAATTACCGAGGAGAACTCAGAAGTTACCTTGTCAGGTAAAAGGCGCTTTGGGAAGTGTATTTGGTGCAGTGTTGTTTCTCTGTTTCACATCAGTTAGTGGTGCTGCTTTATGTCCTGGCATGTTGTTATGAAAAGTTGGAAGTACAATTTGATAGTTGAAAGAATTGTATCTTAAACACTCATGTATTTCCAGTTGGATTCTATAATTAGGATTTTACTGTACTATCGATCATATTTTTACCATTTATCCATCTCTGTGTCTTCTTGTATTTTAATGTATTTCAGAGTAAGCTGGAGATGTCAGCAGTTAGATTTAGCATGCATATCATTAATTAGGGTTCAGTGTTTGATGAGTTTTCTTTCCAGTAAAATTTATATTCTGTGAAATGCACAAATCTCAGTTGTACCTGTTGTGACTTAGTACCAGTGTGTACATTTATGCAGTCAAAACCCCTGTGGGGATTCTGGACGTTGCCACCATGCTAGGACGTTCCATCTTCTCCTTCCCAGCATCCCTTTCCACGTCTACCCCCAAACAAGTAACTGTTTAAAAAACTTGTTTTAAAAAATCACTGTTGAGGGCCAGGGATTTAGCTCAGTGGCATAAGTGACCCCTGGTACCAAAAAAAGAAAAGAAAAAAATCACAGATGAGTTTTGTCTCATAATTCATAATTCATAATAGTGGAATCATGTATGTGGATCCTTTTTGTAAACTTTCCTTTAATCAGCATAATATTTGAGATTCATCCATAGTTTATGCCACTCAGTAGTGTATTCCTGTCTTACTAGTGGTCAGTATTTTATGAATACCGTGAATAAATGTGTAGTTATCTGTGTGTGGCTACATGAGTGCTGAGTGGTTGGTTTATCCATTTTTCTGTTTCTAGATGTCCAGGTTTCCAGCTTAGGGCTGCTGTCATACAGCAGCTATGCCTATCCTTTAAAAGTATTTATGAATATATATCATCATTTCTCCTGATGTTTCCCTTCCAATGAATCGTACAGTCAGTGCAGTTTATTTTTGTAAGAAAGTACCAGACTTTTTACCAACAGGGCTGTATCCATCAGTCATGTTAACACTGTCAGAGTTCTGATTGTTTTACATCTTTGATATTACGTGTCTTCCACGTTACAGATATCGTATTGGGTATGTAATGATGTCTGTTGAAGTTTAATGGTATTTATTTCTTGCTTACCTTCTGAAATTTAGTGTTGAAACAAATCAGAGCTACCAAGAGAGTCACAGTTTCAGCTTCAGTAGTCATTATCCTCATGGAATCAGTACTGCGATTTACCACCCTGCTCACAGGTAAGCAGCTGTTTGTGCTCTGACTCAGAGGATTACCGGGTGGGTCCAGAACCCCTGGCATAGGTCCAGAGGGAAGAGCCTCCCCTCACTGATTCTCCTGTGGACCTGTTCATTCCATATTCCTGTGCGCAGTCATGTAGAAGACCTTGGCAGCCTGTTCCGATCATGCATGCACCTTTTCCTGCCTGACTGGTCTTCTCCAGCCAGCCAGGGCACTGGCCTCTTGGTTGAGGAATTTTTCCTGCTTGCTCACGCCACCAAAACACGTCCTCCTCGTTGGTAACAAGAGTGCGACAGCACCGAGCTCACAGCCTCGTCCACAGAGCCCATGAAGGCCATGTCTTCTTGTGGAGGCTGCAGTAGGCATCCCTCTTGCAGGCTTCCTTCCTTGCAGGCTGAGGCTCTGCTGTCTGTCTGTCTGTCTGTCCGGCTCCTCCAAGTCCTGTGTCTGTTTCCCCTGCGGTGTCCCACCCTCTGTTACTCACCTTTGTCAGTGAGTTTGACTGGAAGCTTTTGGCATTTTCTACTGCCTGCAGTATCTGCCCTTTAGTTTTGAGGGTTAAGTATATGTGTATTTCACGAGTCAGCCAAGCTCTTTGGGTTTGTCACTAGAAAGAGTGTTCAATTTTGAGTCAGATTAAGCTAGTTAAGTTCTGGATTTTTGGACTAATCAGTGACTGCCGGCAACTCCTTACACTGACTCTCTTCTTGGTGGAAAGTGTATGCAAGTTTCGTATCCTGTTTATTCATCAGAGAATTTTATTGTGGAATCTTTTTACTGTGAAAGATTCCCCTCTCTTTCCTCTCTCCCACTCCTTTCTCTCCTCCTCTCTCTCCACCCCCCCCCCTTCTCTTCCCCACACTCCGAAATCCTTTGGGCTGTCTGCTAATGCCATTTTGTCTCCCTGAGACAATGACCGAGATAATGACCATCTTGACTTTTGTTTCATCCCCTTGCTTTCTTTAGAGTTTGAGCACTTATAGTTAGCTTGATGTTCTGACTTTATGGAAATGGAATCATGTGCTCGTAAATCTTATTGTGTGACTTGCTTTTTCTTTTCTTTTTTTTTCTTTTTTTTTAACAAGGTATTGGAACTGGAATGACTTGCTTTTTCATTCATGTTGTTGTAGTTCATTCAGTTTTTTTTAGTTCATTTTTAACCACTGAGGATATTTTATGAATAATACGCAACATATTTAGCCGTTCTCCTGTAAGCGAAAACTTGATTTGTTTCAGCTGCTTCTATGTTATAAAAATAGCACAGTGGTAAAAGCTTCTATGTTATAAAAATAGCACAGTGGTAAAAGTTATTGTGTACTCCTTTAGCACACATGCTGGCTGTGGAAGGAGAAGTGACTCTTCAGACTTCTGGGAGGGAACAAGGTCCTGGCAGGTGTGTCCCACAGTGGTTGTTCTGGATGATGTTCATCCTCTTGATGAGGAGATGTACGGCACTTTTAAACATCTGCTGGTTGGTAGGTGTAAAGGAATATCTCATAGCTGTTTTCAGTGATTTGAAAACCTGTGGGAGCTGTGTAAGAAAAGAGGGTTTCATGTACAGGGCCATCTGAGCCCACCCCTGAGGAGGGCATGTTCCAGGAGCAGCGCTGTGAGAACGCAGTGCAGGAGCCCTTGGGGCCAGGGTGTGTGACGCCGATGGAGGTGTGATTGGCAGGCCCGTGAGCAGCGGTGAGCACTGATTTCTGCGTGGTTTTGCAGCCCATAGAGCCCCTGTTCTCACTTGTGTTTATTCTCCTGTAGTTCTCCCCCCCACCATGCTGGGGTCACACTGAGGACCTCTCTTGTGTGAAGAGAGGGCTGCACGCTGAGCTACATTTTCAGACTTCCTTTCTCCTTTTTCTTTGTTTTAAACTGCTGAGTTTTATGATGTACCTGTTATAGATTTACCCCTAAATCCACCTCACTGGTGGTATAAGTCTCTCTTCAGTGCATCATATATATTTGTGTCGTGCAGGTTTTGTCTCTGTGGAGAGGTCTGTCCCGGAACTTCCCAGTGTGCTGCAGTGTAAATTTACAATGGCTGATAGCTGTTGTCCTGGAGTCTCTGCCACACCCTGGGAATTGCATTCATGTGCTGTCTGGCTGCATTCTTGTTTCCTAGGTCCCTTGTGCTCTGTCACTTTCTGTTTTTCTTAGTTTATTTCACTGTTTTGGCCACTCACAGCCTTCTGTATCTTCCCAGAAACAACATGTGGTATATGGAAGACTTGCATGTCTGAAAATGGCTTGTTCTATCTTTATGTTTAATTGATGATTGGGTTCAACAGAGTTGTAGGCTGGAAATAATTTTCTTTTAGAATTTCGAAGGTATTTTTTCTAGCTTCTAGTGTTGCTCCTGAGAATTCTAATGTTATTCTGATGTAAAGCCCAGTTTTGTTTCTCTGGTGTTTGTCCCCTTCTCACTAGACTTTCTTATTCCTCAGTGTTCTGCTGTCTGACCTTGTAATGGCTCACAGCAGATTTATTACTATCTACGTGCTGGCTTCTTAGTTTTGGGTTCAAAATGTAACCACCCGAGGGAAGTTTTATTTAGTGGGTGGGGACAACCTCTATTTAAATAAACATCTTAGAAAGTTGAATATATTCTTTAATCAAAAAGGAGGTTCTCTTTTTGGTTCTGCAATCATTTATAACTTGATAGCAGTCAGTGTGGAGATAGATGACATTAATGTTTCTGTGTGAAAATTACTATAAAACAGAGAATGTGTATAAATATTCTATTGTGGATGACGTTTTTGCTAGGTTGTTTATGTTTTCCATTATGTGGTCTTTTTTAAAAGAAAGAAGGTATTATATTCGTCATGTTTTTATTTATTTCCAGCTTATTTCTGCAAATAGTAGTGTGAGGATGTGCTATTTATCATCTATAAGAATTTTACAGATGTGAAATAAATCAGCCAGGCTAGAGCTGGGATAAATAGGGAACACGAACTCAGGGTTTTGTGTAATGCGTTTTTTTGTCTTAATACTGAGAGCGCTGCTGAAGAAGAGAAATTGAGTTGATAAACTGGGTGACAGGAAGCAAGAATTAACTGAGAAGCTGTGGACTAAGCTGGGTGGGTATGCTGATTTTTTCCATATCCTGAGCCACAGCCTCATGGGAGCCCTGGAGCCATCTCATCCCTCGGCCCTGCCTCACCTTATCTGCCCCCCCCTCCATTCTCCTGCCTTCCCTGCCTCCCCTGCCTCCCCTCCTCTTCCTTCTGTCTTTCCTTTGCTGTTGTTGGTTTTCTGGAGAATCACACCCAGGCTCTGGTGGAGAGAAATCCCTCTGCTCCTTTGCATTGTGGATGAGCCCATGTGCAGTAACCATAGCTCTGCCATAGTAGTGTGAACCACCAGAGACGGCATGGAAATGAGCAAACCTGGTTGGGTTCCAATAAAGCTTTATTTACAAAACATAGGTGCTGGTGGATTTGGGGTGTGTGTGTGTGTGTGTGTGTGTGGTGGCTGCCGCTTGCTGACATTCGTCTTATGTAACTAACTGCAGGCATATTTAAATTCATTTATTTCTTGAAATGTCTTTGTTCTTTAAAGCCTTCGTGGTATCAGACTGAGGCCTGCTGCCTGTGCGCACAGAAACTCATATTATGGCATCAGTTTCTGCAGAAAGCTTCATTGAAGGTCAGCCAGTAAGGGAGAGGAAGGGCTTTGAAGATGGGACTCAGTATTTGGGCAGTGCCTGTTATGGTCCCCCTGTTTTAGTTCAGAGGTGGGCCAGTCACAGGCAGCACCCTGGCTCCCGGCTCATGCTTGGAATCCCCATAGCTTTGGATCCTGGATCCTCTTATGAGTAGAAGGCTATGGCCCGTGGAGCAGACACAGTTTCATTTGTGCTTCCTGTTGCTGTCCCCTGGCTGGAATGTCCACTAAAGTAAAACTGTCTGCTCGGCCCTGTTGGGTCGGACCGACCCACTACAGCTTTGTGTGCTGAGGAGGAAGGGAGTAGGGAGGGGAGGGCAGTGGGCGGGGGAGGGAGAGCCTTTTGCTCAGCCAGGGGTGGGTAGGACAGATTTGTTCAGGCAGCACCTTATATCTGACAGTTACGGGATATTTAAAAGTAGCTAGACTTGCTGGAAATTCTCCAGACTGACCATGGCATGATGTGTTGTCGCAGTATACTCCATGAACACGCTGTAGAGCTTGCGTTGTTTGATAGAACAAGTGTTGGTTTCCTCCAGCAAATGGTGGTTGCAGCTCCTTGGGCTTCTGGCAGTGTGGTAAGCCTGTGAGAGAGGTGAATGGAGGTCCAGGACCAGGGTCTGTGTTGTCCACGGATCCACTTTCCGCAGCAAGACAGGGCCTGGCACTCGATGTGTTGCTCTGCAAAGGAGCGGGAGCCTGATTTTGGAGGAATTGGTGTTTAAGGCTCAGGTGGAACATCGTGTAAACACAAGAGCTAAAGTAGGTCATTTTCAGATGTTTCTTAGGTGAAATGTGAGTCTTGTTAACTCCTGAGAGTGTGAACTCCATGAGGGGGGAAGCTTGGTTCCTTCATGCTGTCTTTCCTGCACTGCTAGCACCGAACCTCACATCTGAGTAAGTGTAAACACTCCTGAGATGGATGCTGCATTGACTTCAGTGGAAGTTGGTGACGTTAGAGAAAATGTCGGTGCAGATTACTGAATCTGCATGTGCTGAGTACTGGTCATCAGGATGCAGTGTCCTACTTCCCTGCTGCTGCTGCTGTGTGTGGGGCAAAGCTCCGGGCTAGGAGACTTTCCTAGCGTGGTGCGACTATCAGGGCAGCTCCCGTCCTCCTTTCTTGGGGTGGAGGGACTGTGACCTGGACGAGGGCTTGGTACACCGCAGCCTGTGACCTGGCTCTGCCCCATTGCTAGGAATACAGTTGACATTTTTTAGGTAGTTGAAAAATACTCAAAGCAGGTTCCTTGGTGACTCATGAAAATTGTGTTCAGGTATCCATAGAGTTTCTTTTGACACCCTGATGTGGTGTTTCCTTCTGTCCCGTAAAGGAGGTGTTATGAAGTAGATTCTGTGGCCCACCAGGGTCAAAATATTATGAGCTATCCTTTTTAAGAAATTGTTAGCTGGACTGTTCTGTGCCAGCCAACATCTGTGTGTCCAGTTTTGCTTGGGGGGTACAAAGCCAGAAGGATTAAATGTTACACATGTTCCCATATTTGATTCTGAATTCTGAATTACGTCCTAAGGAATTTAGAACCAGATGCCATGCAGTTTTAAGCAATTCTATATCTATTCATCAGGTTGCTAGGAGAACGATTTCATTATCAAACTGAGTGAGCAGAGGAGGAAAAATTTCCTGTTTTGTTTTTAATAAGCAGCCTTTCAAAAACCTAATTGATTTCTGTGATCATCCTTCAGCACATGTCAACTACTCAGTCTAGTGCTTAGTCACAATGTGACTGATAATGAGCTGTGTCTTCCAGACCCCAGGTGGTTCCTTTAAACATAGGGTGAAGTGGATCCTTGACCAGCAGCATGGAGATTCCCGGAGGCGTGGGGAGTTGGAGATTGGGCTCCCCATGCCTCTGCCTCCTGGACCCCAGGTCTGGAAGGTGTCCCAGTGTGTGTGTGTTCTGGGCCCTCCGGGATTCTGCTGCATCCCTGCTGTTTGACAAAGGCTAACTTTGTCTTGGCTATATGTATTTCTGCTTAGTTCTTCATCTAGTTGGTAAACATAAGCAAACTTTAATGAAGACACTGAAGTAGTGGGTAAGATGTAATGCATCAGATAGGTGATGTTTCAGGTTTCCGAAGGGAGGAACTGCTTGTAGCTCTGACGGTTTGATCATGTGTGTGGAGACTTAACTTTATGGGCCTGGTCCTGTCAAATCTTTCCAAGCCCAGGCCGCAGCTGTGCTAGTTCAGGTGCTGTTCCACTGTCTGACCCCTGCCCTTTCCATGTTGTAGAATTGTGGCACATAGAGCCTGCCCTTCCCCTCCTTCCCTTCCTGTTGTGTGCCTTGGGGACACCAGACCTTGGACAGAGCACCTAGAAGTTCTTGTTCTAAAACTTCCTATGCTGTACGTGGGCTTGAACGAGTTCTAAGCCACTAGAGGGCAGATTCTTCCAACCAGTGTTTGATCAAAGAACCTTTTTGCTAACTCTTCTGTGTTGCTTTTGAATTCTTTTAAAGCATGGCTCCCAGCCTCAGTGTCCTCAGCGTCTTATACCGTGATACTTAGGGCCTTGTGTCTGCCTCTACTGGTTTTTTTCCCATGTCTGGGTTACTGTCTCCTGTTCTTTGGTCTCTGCCTTTATTCGGGCTTGTTTAATTCTTTCCTCGCATGCGTGCGTGTGGGTACACACTTTCTCTATCACTTAGTTTATTTGTATCGTCCAACGTCTGTGCCTGCTTGCAGCTTTCCACTCTTCCAGCTGTCAGAGCTGGGAGACTCAGCCCCTTCATCGTCAGGCCAAGACCAAGGACCGCTTCCTTCACCTCTGTGCACCTGTGCGTCTTGGCAGGCGTGCCCTGCTTGGCCTTTCGTGGCTGAGACATGTCTGTGCTCATTAATGTACAGGACAGCTTAATCTCCAAGGGTTTTTATCTGGTTTTGAGCATTTTAGATCGAAGAGAATATAGTATTCTTTGAAGATAATGGTGCACAGTATAATAACTGCTATTTTTGTTATTTGGCTATGAAAATTTGTTTTATTTTTTTCATAAAAAAGAAAGAAAAATCAAAGCCAGGGCCTCCACATTGCAATACACCCCCATCTTATTTTTATTTTTTGTTTTGAGACAGGGTCTTAAGTCATTCAATTACCCGATTTGGGTTTGAACTTGTGCCTCCTGCCTCAGCTTCCCAGAGTTCTGGGGTCACAGGTGTGTGCCACCGTGTCCAGCTTGTCGTTTCTTTCTGATGTGCTGTGTGGTGCCCGTGTGCATCAGGTGCAGATGATGTGCGTATGCCTAGTGAGGCTGCACAGATGCTCACTGGTGTCTGCAGCATGCGGTGGCCAAGCTTCAGACGTTCCCCATGTCTCTGAGTGTACCACTGAATATTTAAGCGCTGCCTCTGCCCAGGTGAGGCTGTGGTTCCCATTTGAAAGCCGTTTGATTTCTCTTAGTGGTTTTGCTTAAAATGCTGACCTTCTAGGTTTAATATGTAGTCATTTTAATGTAAATTTTCTCGTGCAGGTGGCTTTCCATGATGTGATGTTTCACTGCTTTTATCTTGTTCCTATTTACAGTCTGCATCCTTTATTTTCTTGCTTGCAGACTTCTGCTTGTGGGTGGCTGTGAAGCCTCAGAGCCAGGCATCTCGAAGGCAGCCAGCTGCGGCCTGTCTGCGTGGAGAGTCCTCTCAGGGTCACCATATTACAAGCAGGTCGCCAGCGGTGGAGACAGGGTCACAGTGGTAAGTGCTTGCCACAGCATTTTACTGTCCTAATTGGCTTTAAACAAATACGTTGTCTGTAGGACTTAGAGGAATAAATAATTTTGTCTTAAGCGAGGAAGACTAATTAATTCTGGTGCAACTATAATACTTCTTTCAAATATCAAATTTAATAATGTATGTTGAATTGAACAGTATTTTCAGATATTAAAAAAATGACCTGGATTTGCTTGTTTAGGTATCAGCATCTATGAGGCCCTTTGTGTTTGAGCAGCTGTTCTTAGCTCGCTCATGGACTGGCCCATTTCGCTAATGCTGTTTCCAGCCCTAGTCTCCTCATGGAGAAGCTGAGTGGGCTCATCCCAGGGCCAGGATGGCCCATCCAATATTATCTGTATTCTCAGCCTAAGTGAAAATTGCTAAGCACAAATTCAGTTGAAGGCAGGAATATTTAATGAAGATCACACACAGTTAAATAAGCAATGTAAATGCGTGGCTTCACATTTCGAGGTCTGCCTATTGGGAGTGAGGTCCATAGCAGAGCCCCCAAAAATGTTACAGAACTGGCTGGCAAACAGAGACCTCAGACCTCAGAGACCTCAAGGGGCTGTCAGCAGATAGTGATGAAATATCTTCACGAAGAGCCTGTGAGGCTTAAGAAGTGGAGGTCTTCAGGGATGTTCTGAGTGGACTGAGTTGTAAAGCTTATAGTGCAGAGTTCAACATTCTTCAATTCCCAAACTGAATTAACTTGGACTAGAAATCTGCAACACTTAAAACATGTTTGCTTGACTGAGTAATCCCAGAACAGAACAGTTTCATCTCCATCTGAAAGTCAGGGGAAAGCAGAACAAAGCAGGTTAAGAAATGTAAATTTGTCCTTCTCAGAAATGTTTCAGGTCACGTTATACTGCTTGACTCACATATTCATAGAATATCCAACTTCAAACAAAAGCTGGAAGGAAAGCAGGAAAATGGGCTGCCTAGACTAGCAGAGACCAGGATTGTAACTGCCGACCTGGAAATGGACTTAGTTTCACAGAGATAAAGTAAACAACATTATTGGTTTCTATCAAGGGAATTCTACAGAGTCCATGGGTTTTGCTTCTTTTCTTCCAGACTAAGACTCTGCCACATCTTATTAGAGGGCACACTTCCTCAGTGGTGGCTTTTCAGATTATTCAAGGTCAAGGAATCTTTGTGTTTGAAAGTTAGTCAGAATATAGGAAATGTGATCCTCCTTTGTGAAGTTGATCTCTTTGCTTCCTGGTAAGGTCCTAGATTCAACTGGGGAAAAAACAATATTCTAGGATTACTATGAAATGATCACTCACACAAGAAAGGACCCTGACTTGGAAATAGCTCTTCACAATCTCTATAGATGAAAATGGAATTTTGAAAACATTCTCCCAGAGGTAAAAAGAAAAACAAACCCTCCAACTTTCACTTACCTTTATTTGGGGATCCTTTGAAAAGGAAATATATGTTGCAATGAGTGTCAGGAGCCTTAATTGTTTTTTTTTTTTTTTTTTTTTATTTAAAGAGAAAAAAGAAAGGATATAAAAAAAACAAAGCAGTAAAAGGGTACAAAAATACAGAATTTCAAGGAAAAAAATATACAGTAAGAAATCACTAGTTAATAGGTTACATCTTAGAAACAGTTGTCCAAAATTATAAAATTAAAGCACATAAAGTAGACATTCATACAGTGAGATTGCAGACAGTTCCATTCAATGATCCAACAAAAGCTCAGTAATGTGGTTTTCCATTCTACACACTCAAACATGCATGCAGTTATATCCCTTAGACCACCTTCTTTTCCTCTCTTTTTTACAACAACAATTACACTTTTTGGGTTTTTTTACTCCCACAATTCTTATTACTTTTTTTGAAGGGAATAAAACCTAACGTGACTAAAAAAAAGTCAGTTAGAACAAAAGGATGGGCATAGTACATGATGCAAAAATAGAATATCAGGTGATCAAAAATGGTTACCATTGTGCCTCTTGTTATTTTTAAAAAGAGTTGCCTATATCATCAGGTATAATAGAATCGATCAAAACAGTACAGAACAAGACCAATAAAACCTACACTGGAGACCTTATAGGACTTCAAAAGAAGATAATAGACAAACCATAATGGGCATCACAGTAAATCTTACTGCCTTCAAAGTGGTTGCCTATAGCCTCAAACTTCATACTATCAAACAAAATAGAATATAGTAAAATCAGACAGAACAAGATGGGGAGAGCAATACTGGGGTTAACACACAGCCTTGGGCAACACTTGGCTTAGCCTTCTTGTCTTTCCTTTCCTTTTTGGTGTCATAAGGAGGTTGGTGAAAGAGATTTGGCCCAGGCAGGACTCTGTAGCCAGAAAAGCCTCAGCCAGAACCAGGGAGTTCCTATCACCCCCACCCCTAGGGATTTACCTGTGACTCTGTCTCCCCCCACCCTTAGGAATTTGCCCCTCGGGGCTGGGGATTTTGCTCAGCGGCATAAGCACCTGCCTTGCAAGTGTGTGGTCGTGAGTTTGATCCCCGGTACCAATAAAAAAGAAAAAGACAAAAAAAAAAAAAAAAAAAAAGCTTAGGAATTTGCCCCTGGTGCCAAACGAATGCCAATGAGATACCTGTGCATCTCTAATGGCCCTAGGGCACTACCCTAAGCTTAGGCTACTTATATACCCCCCACGCCACATGTTTGCCAGAGAAAAAGCTGGACTCCAGCAGTGTGTGTGTGTTTGTGTGTGGGGGGTGTTTTGGTTTACTCTCTCCGTGTTCTCAGAATAAAGGCCTCTTTTGTTTTATACTTCTCATCTTTTGGATATAATCTTATCAGTTGGATGATGTCATAAGGAGGTGGCTTCTATGATCCACTCATTCCTACCCAGCTGTAACATTTGAAAACTTAGAACTGTACTACTCAGCTGCTTGGATATTCTAGGTCAGCAGTGCCTGCATGACCTCCAGGTGCTCATGAGAAACACAGAGTCTCAGATTCCACCCCGCATCCAGTGAATCACACCTTACCCATGAACAAGAGCCTCATGACTCAGACAGACATGAACATCTGAGAAACACTGGTCTACAACATCCTGATTCCTTTCTTTTGCACCTACTGACCTTACTTGGTTCTATCAGCCTCTCTAACATTTGTGTACCACTTTGTTTGCTGAAGAATACATCATTTCCCTCTGTACATTTACTTCTCCATCATGTATCTTTTGAGTTCTTACTCTACACAGACAGAGCTCCTAAAACAAGAACCATTGTCTGACTTGCTTTTTCTTCTGCTGAAGTCAGCAGTAGGTAATAAGTGATGTTATATGTTATCTCCATAAAGCTTTTCAAGATTTTTCCACATAGCAAATTATCTGATTGGCTCCTAAATATAGTCATCATCTTTGGTATGCTGAAGTGTAGGGAGCGGCATATCTCACTGCTGCCTGTAATTGAGCTAGATGCTGATTTCCCAACACTAGAGCTGTAGTCCCTGTTCATATTCCCGTTGCGACTCCTAACCCTAGTAATACAGCTAAGGTGAGTGTCACAGGTTCTCTCTTGTACATATAGCCAGTCTGCGATGCCTGGAGGTAGTAGTCTCCTGGGTGGAATGTTATGTGAGGAAGAACCTGTACAAGAACACAAAAATCTGCAGACTTGTTAAAAACAGTGGTTGCTATACAGGGTGAGAGGCCCAAGACATTCCTGGGGGTGGAATGAGGTAATTATTTGGCTTGAACTCTGAATGAAGCTGGGCACAGAGTCATGCTGCCAGTGCTGGTGGACTGCTGGAGTCCCCAAGACAGATCCCTCTACCTGAGACGTCAGGGAGAGTCAGCTTGTGGTGATTACCCCAGTCACAGGCAGATGAGCTAGAAGAACTGTTAAAGGTTAAATTGAGGGCCCTTCCTTCATAATATGGTGGAGGAACAGCCAAGCATAACCAACAGGATTGGGTGAGATCAGGTTGGGTATGATTTAAAGCCATGTATGCCCCTTTAATCAAACTGAATAGGTTAGAATGTTAATATTGAGGGGCAGGTATGTGATCTACCTGGTGTGTGGGAGGGCTTGATAAACGCCTATGGTTGGGTGACTTACTGTGGTTGTTTGAACAGCAGTAACAGGATCTGTATTAGACTGATTGTATTTGGATTTGGATTGTATTTTGGCTTTAGAGTAGGATTTGGGCCTATGGGCGTGGATGAAACCTGTAGGGGAACCTTTTTATGAGAATAAGATTTCCCCTATCTTTGCTTGACTCATAGACTCGAAGTCCCCAGGTGCGTCCTGTCAGCCAGCCAGGGTCCTCAGAAGTGGTGACAGTGACCTTTAGCACCTGACAGGGTCTTTGATTGGCCGGTGGGTAGTCATCTAGGCTGCACCCAAGTGGCCCCCACATCAATTTAAGGTGTTTATCGGGGAAGGAGGGTTGCCATCCTGTTGCAACTGTTTCGCAGCCCCAATGAGCACAAAAATATTCTCCCGGGGAATTACAATATGATCTGCCCCTTGTTGCTGCAGGACAAAGGTAGAATTGACTTTGTCTGTCAAAAGTCCAACGATGGTCCATAAGGTTTTGAGAGGTTCACCATCTGTAAGAGAACACAGGGGATTGTGCCTCAGGAGAGGATGTTATTCCTGGGCGTCACATAGGGTCTTCGATGAAGGGCTGTCGACTTGTTTTATAAGCTGTTCAGGGAGCCATCTAGCTCCTTTTTCCTGTAATGCACACAGAGCCTCGTCCCCAGATGAAGACTGGGTCAGGGCCATTCCATGTGTTGGTTAGGGGATCTCTCCATAGCACAGATGCAAATTGTGTTGTTGTCTGTGTGTGCCAGAAATGAGATGCCGCTGAGCAGCCTTAGGCATCCAGGGATAGAAAATTTAAAATAAAGAGAGCATGTGAGAGAATATTTCTAGGAGACCCTCGGGTTGGGTACCAGGTTTCTCCTTTTATTTTATCTATAGTGGATTTGAGGGAGCAATGTGCATGTTCAACAATACCTTGTCCTTG